TCGGCGCTGTCGCTCGCCGCCGCCGCCAGCTCCTGCTCCTGCCCCTGCCCCTGCCCGCCCTCCGCCATGGCCCGGGCTGCTCCCGCCGCGCCGAAGCTCGGAGATTTCAAACTTTCGCGGCCGACAATCCTCCCCTGACGTTAGCGCCAGGGAGCATTCTGATTGGTCGCGGGCCCTGAGGGAGCCAATCGGCAAAGGGCAGGGAACCCTATAGAATGTTGAGACAGGGAGAAGAGTGGTCAGTTAGGAAACGTGCCCGCACCGTCGCCCTCTGTGCGCACACATACACGTACACGTTAATAGATAGATAGATAGATAGATAGATATATGTGTGTGTGTGTGTGACCAAATATTATTATTATTACTTTATATATTATGTGAAATGTGTGTATTGCTGTAACAATATGATTTATGACATTTTATATGAATGAAGTATATGTTGTTTTATTAGATATAAAGATAATAACATCTGGTAGTGCACATATATACACAACCACATTTTATTATTTTAAAAATGTATATAATTTGGTCATGAGCAACTAATTCATTTGACTTTCACAGCAGGGAATTTCCATGTGGGATTTAGGAAGGCTGACACCATCTCCTGCATACCTAGTATCAGTACTGGCCTTCAACCAAAAAAGGGAATGGTATTTTTTTTCTCCTTTTTCCCTATATTCAGTCCCCAAAGACAACCCAAGCAGGGTGTGGGGCCCCATCCCCGGACACAAGGAAGCCGGTGGTAGATTTGGCAGCAAGGGGCAGGGCAGGGTGCGAAGTGGCTGGACACCATTCAGCGGCAGATTCAGTGGTGTTGCCGAGCAGCTGGACATGAAGCTGACAACAGCATGGAGTTGCCATGGCCACTCCACCTGGCTTCACCCCAATTCGCACCCCCTTCCCCCCCCAGAGATGGCCCTGTCACTCCCTAAGAAAGGTCTCATTCTCCCTGGGGAAATAATGGCTGAGTAACATTGCTTTAGTTCAGGTGACATAACTTCAGCCCAAGTTTTTTGTTTTCTCTTCCCCTGATGGGTGTGTATAAATCACCTGTTTTCCTATCACAGGGGTTTCAACCAATTTTAACAAGCGTACCCCATCTCTCTCAAAGTTCCAGCTCAGGTACCCCTTTATATTTTTTCTCATTTTTAAGCGGGGGAAAGGAATCAAGGCCCCCCACGGTGAGAGAGGGAGTAGGGCTGGGGCTGCACAGCTGGGGCAGTGTGAGAGACGGAGCCACAAGTGACTCGTTCAGGGGGCCCAGGGAGAGGGGTGGCGGCTCCTGCCATTGTGCACACCCCTCATCCTTACCAGCTGGACCCGGATGCTCTCCTGAACACGTGATGCACTGCAACTGTGCGCGCACACAGCATTTATCAGCAACATTAGATCTGAGTACCCCTAGGACCTTTTTAAGTACCCCTAGGGGTACATGTACCCCCAGTTGACAACCACTGTCCTATCGTATAGAATTTATTTTCAATATTTATTCAAATATTGCAATGCACAACACACAGATTTCAATATTTAGGTCGCTGGGTGCATGCCTATCTACAAAGGGATTAAGCAATTTGCTTGAAAAGTTCTGTTTCTTATTAACATGCTGCCATTCCAATTACAGAACAGCCCTTGCATTTTTGATATATCTAACTTAGTAGTCATCCCTTGAGAGTGGTTCCAGAAAGCAGCTAAGATGGCAAAGTACTCAACCAGGAGATTTTAAAATTAAATTAATCTGTCATAAGTGACTTGTCACAGCCAACTCAGCTAGTCAGATCAGTTCATATAGGACAAATTCAGGACAGCTAACCAGAATGGGAAATGTTCCTTTTTTAATAAAAGTAGACTGGAATTCAATAACTCATGCTAATAGGGGAGTCAATCAAGCACAGCTAAAGAAGTGTTAAGAAGACACTCATCTTTACTGTATTAAATGCAAAAAAAAGGTGCTACCTGCACTTCTAGGTCTAATCAGTGGCCTTACTGCATTCACCAACATGTTAAGCACATGTGTTTTTCCTTGTGGATCTCATACTAGCAAAATGTGCTCCTTGCTGGCATATTCAGCATTGAATGCTACAAAAATAATGAGAAAAGGGGGGATTTGTGTCAGTGGGAGAAAAAGAACACTGGCTGCACAAAAAACTCCTTCCCTAGCACAATTTCTGGGTACAGTTTTTGCTCAGAAAACAATTTGGAAATGGCTACAGCCACAATTGCAAGATTCTTTTCCAAACCAGCATGCGTGCTGCTCCTGTGACCAGAGTCCCAGAAGAGCTCCTTCTATAAATGAAGATATCTCAAGTGAATAACAAGCAAACTAAAAATAATGGGTCAAAACAAACTTCTGGAGCAACAACCTGATAACTGTATGAGTCTGAAGATCTGATAGGCCATTTGCTTTTATACCGATGCAAGTGTGGAAATGCTACCAGATCAGAATGTAACACTGGAGATTTTCTTTGTGCTGAAAAGACCAAGTCAAGCAACAGAGAAATAGAAAAGGTGGCCCTGGTTATCCAAGTGCCTCCTACTACTGTGTCTTCAGTTTTGCTTGTTTGCTTTGCTGTTTGGGTTTTTTGTTTTGTTTTCCCTCCCCAGACATATTGTTTTATTTATATTAAGACCTGGGCTTGTGAAGACTTACACATATGAAAGCAGAGTTAAGCATATATATGGTCTTACTGAGTTCAGTAATAGAGCAAAGCTGCAATTAAATTGCTGGCTTGGGCTGCACTATTTATTTAAATTAAATGTCTGAAATAACATTGTAATGACATAAATATTAATTAGCACATTCTACTAGGATGACATGTATTAGGTCCTAACCCTGCAAAAACATAAGCACGTGAAGAATATTAAATGTGAGCTCTTGATGTCGAAGGGGCCCTGCAGAGACATAATGCTACTTGTTTATAACTTTAGAATCTGACAATAAATGGATTGTTTTTAAATAAAGGCATTGCAGTAGGACAAACTGGACACCCAAATACTTTTAACAATAAATACATTATTTTTGTTGGTAGCTTTTCCAAATATTTACTAGGTATAACAATTCAAAAAAAATATCAAGCTGATAAAACATCTGTTTGTCGTTGAAAAGAATAGATATTTTGACATGGATTCACAAAGCCATTGCTCAGCTTGGTTGCATTAATTGAAATGTCCACGAGGGGGCTGTCTGATGTTTCTGACTGCAGTGCAAAATATCTAGTATTTCTGTACTGTTGTTTATTTTCAAAATGTCAGGTAATTATGCAGCAGGAGCACAGCCCTTATACATTGAGAACAGCCTGATACCTCTTTACATTATGCCACATTTATACTGGTGCAGGTCAGCTAAAATCAACACAGCTGCCCAGGCAAAAAATAGGGGAAGACTGATGCCCCAAGGAGCAATGGACTCAAGTTGCAGCAAGGGAAATTTAAGTTGGATATTAGGAAAAACTCTCACTAGGAGGGTGGTGAAGCACTGGAACAGGTTACCTAGAGACGTGATGGAATCTCCATCCTTGGAGCTTTTTAAAGCCCAGCTCAACAAAACCCTGGCTATAATAATCTAGTTGGGGATAGTCCTGTTCTGAGCAGGAGGCTGGACTAGAGGACCTCCTGAGGCCCCTTCCAACCCTAATTTTCTATGATAGTTCAGACCCTGTATCTTTTCTGTAGTGTGATTGTAACAGGAGGGCGGTCAGGGTTGCCGTACTCTCCCCTGCCGCCTTCTTTACTGTGCCAAGCTGTTGAATTGCACCCTCCAATTCTCTCCTGCCACGACTTTGATCTTATATATTTTATAGGGAGGCTGCCTTCCGTCTTCTTGGCCACGGTTCTCCTGTCTTGGGTGTTGCGTACACCCCAGCCTTAGGGGCCATGTGTGGCTCCTACCATCCCTGCACCACGCCCCAAGCCTCGCAGATGTAACGGACATTGTTCTGTCTCTCTCTCTGTCTCCACACCCTCTCTGGTGCTCGGGCTCTCCGCAGTCCCGTCTCTCTCTCTCTCGGGGCCTTCTCAGCAATGCCGCCCTCTCTCGGGGGCTCACCGCGCCCGCACTGGGGCTTCTCAGCAAACCCCCCTTCTCTGGGGCTTCTCAACTGCCCCTCTCTGGGGCTAGGGTCTATGTAACCTGAATGCTGAGCCCTCACTGGCGCTGGGGTCCCCACACCGCTGTGAGTCCCCTATGAGGCCTCCCCCAACCCCTAATAGCTTCACCCAAACCACCGGTGTAACAAATAGCAACACAAACACAAGCCCCTGGGCTATAACACAAACGTAAACCACCCAACTATAATCACGCTCAAGCCTACCGGGGGTTCCTCATCCCGCCGCAGTGACCGGCGCTGCTCCTGCATTCAGGCTTCTCGTCTCTTTCCTGGCAGGGAGCTCCTTCCTCCTTGGCTGCTGGTAGGGAACCGCTTCTTGGCCTCCTGCCTGCGATTTATATAGGAGCCAGGCCCTGCCCCTTCCTTCAGCTGGCTAGGCAGGTGGGGATCATTAGTTCCCTCCAGTTACTTCAGCAACCAGTACCTGAGGAGCTATCTCGGCTCTCTCAGTAGCAGGCACCTTAGTGCCCTGCTACAGTGATGTATATGCTATAACCTACTATGCCATCCATAGCCACCAAGCCTTTACTCAAATTATTTTGCTTTTTGCATATTTGCCAATGAAATAAAAATTAAAGAAACATGTTAACCTCCCCCAAGAAGTAGAAAACAGAGAGCGCAGAAGTAACATCCTGGCTCCATTGAGATTAATGGTAAAATTCTTACCGACTTCAGTGGAGCTAGGCTTTCAATCTAAACTGCAAGTACATGTTCCTTAACACAGCTGCTTGCACTTGCATGATCAAATTAAGAGAAAAAGCAAGTAACATTGCTTACCCCACCTGATGGCAACATTTCCACATAGGGGTTCCTACCCCAAATCTTTCCTTTGAAACAGACACCCATTTGCATTCCTAGTAGGTAACATTTTTATACCAAAACACACATTAAATATACCATACTAACCGCACTGTCCTCTTTTAGTCTTAGAATTAGACAAATTATTTTTCCTGCTCAAGATGTTGTACAGTAATTGAATTAGACATTCATCTCGAAATGAAATTCTTATTTGGCTAATCACATAGCACTGAAAAGTGGAGGCACTGGGAACATTTTGCAGGGCCGAAAAGAGCTTTACACTCTTAGAACTGCTTAGAGGCTCGGTGCTTTGATTATGGAAACACGCCACATGCTGGCAACATTCCCCAATCTCTGTTCCTCCATGGATCAAGGCATGGAAGCTCAAACAAGCTTAGCAAAATGCATTTCAAAGAGTGACCTGGCAAAGGGCACTGAATCTTGATCAGCTGCCTTGGTTCTGTTGATCTGAAATGGCACTTACCGTGCATTTTACTGCAAAGCCTCTTTGAGGCCTGATCATTCTGGAGCCATCAGAAGTGGTTAATCCTGTTCCAAATCCTAAAAGTGACAAGATATTACTGACCTATGGAATATGCTTTGCAGTGTGGAAATGGCCCCAAGCTATAACATTGTTATGCTTACCAACTGTCTAAAACTAGATAGGCCCTGTCTAAACTGGCCAAAAGCCATTGCAAAATAGCAATGATCTTGATTTTGCAACATACATGCCATACCTTCTTTTTACATACTGCCCTGTCCAGTTTGTCCAGTGTCAACACTTCCCTCTCACAAATACCATTGCCCAGCCCCCACTGATATCTCTTTCCAGCTACCATAGTACCTTCTATTTTCCTCCTCCTTCATTCCCACATGAAAGCAGTATCACGTCGGGTTCCCCGTTGCCTGCGTGAATGGCAGGTCACAGAGGGAATAAGTACCAGTTAGTTATTTACTGAACAATAATATAAAATCCCTCGAGTGTTGCTGCTTTTCGATATTGTTGACTACTCAGTTTTTCTCCTCCATTTTAAAATACTAACATAGAACCCCCAATATTTTACTCAAATTTCTCTCTAATTCTCTATCATTGATTTAATAGCCATTCAAATTTTGAATTTTCTCTCTTATTATCTGATATTAATAAAGGTTTCAGATATTTCCCCTATTTTGTCTATATTCTTAAATATAGATTTTGCACCTTATCTAATATTGACAGAAAATATATCCAATTCCCCCAATTATCCATTCTGGATAAAACTTTCCTGGTTTCTACATTTCCCCTTTATTAAATGTTCTCACACTTTGCTGTTTTCCCTGTTGTTATAAAATGTGAATGTAAAATCCTCTCATTTTTTTCTGAAGCTTTTCCAAGCCAGCAGTTTCTCCTCCTAGAGAAGTAAACTGTTCCATGAGTCACTGTCCAGGCTCAACAGTGCAGACAGCAGGAGATTAATTCCTCAATCACAACTTTACACCCTGAGTTACAGAATCAAATCATTTCCCATTTATGGAGAAATCACTATGCCATTGGAACAAACTACCAAAGCAGACAGTGGATCTTCACTCTCCTAAAGTCTTCACTTCAAGGCCTGGCACTTCAAGACTTTAGTCAAACGAGTTACTGGGTTCAATGCAGTAATCACTGCATGAAATTCTTTGACCTGTGCTACACTAGCGGTGAGAACAGATAATGGTTACCCTGCCTTCTGCCTGACTTCAGACTAACACAGCTATTTACCTCTCTTTGCCCATGTCACAGACACTTGATAAGTCTAGTTTTTTTCAGTCAGTTGCTATACTTAAGACAAAGTCTGCTTGTTTTCAGCTCAGCCAGTAAAATGTATGGTGGTTTCTCCCCTTTGTAGAAAGAAACCCAAATTTTGCAGCTGCAACTGTCCAGATTTTTTCCTGTCTCCTGCCTATCTTATAGCCCTATGTTTTTAAATTTCCCTGATTCCTCTGTTCCCAGTACTATGAGATGAGTGCTTCAAGGTCTCACAGTGCATTGGTTCAGCCACAGTTATGCTATGTATGGATGTTCCAGAAAGATTCTGCCAAAGCAGCATGAGTGGGTTTGTGTATCAAACCTCTCCCCCAGAGAAAGATAAGACAGACCACTTTTTTTTTCAAGCAGGGGGAGATTATACCTGGACTGGGAATATAAAGAAACAGGGGGGAAACAGGTGGGAAAACCATGCCTTCCTGAAATGAGTTTGACTCCAAGAGACTCCAAAGACAAGGGAAAACTAGAAGGACCTTGTATTGAAGAATGTTGTGGTCTTTTTAATGATCTGTAAACTCTGGTGTTTTATCTTTAAGCAAAGCAATAAAAGTATCGGAAATTCTGTTTAGTATGCATCTATGTCATAGGCCTCCCATCCATCACGGGCCTCCTGAAAAATGAAACTATATCAGAATGCCCATATTTTTAGTGGGATTCTGGGAGAGGGCACACTAGGAGTCTGAGGTGTCAGGACTGGTCCCTAAAAAGAGAATGTTGGCCTGCAAATTCCAGCTCCCAGGCAGAGATGCTAGATGGGAGGGTCTGTACCCTGAGAGTAAACCTAGAGACCTGGAGCTCCCTCTGGCTGCTGTAGGTGGGGCAGAGCAGGGCAGGAACAGCCCTGCACTGAACTGTACCTATTGGGAGCAAATTTGCTCTCAGTGGATACACATGTAGATGCACTCCCAGAGAAACCTTACTGTGCCTTATTTTATGGTACAGTAAGCTTAAAGCACATCAATAGCACATGTAGATGTGGCCACAGAAAGCCAAATTTTGTCCTTAGAGACATAACTGGCATATGCCGATGTGACGGGCTAGCCGGCAATGACTTAGCCCAGGGATTTTGAAAGAGCAAAAGATGATTGGAGGACTTGGGATTCCTTTTACTCACCAATCAGGCCCCAGAGACTCACCCTCCATGTCCCCTGATTGGCCCCTTGGGTCACCAGGAGGGGGATAAAAGGGGCAGTGCGGCTGACACAGGAGAGACCAGCAAGGGACCACAAGGAAGGAGTTTCAAAGAGCTGGCAGAGCTGGGCCAGCGGGGCGGGAGCAGTTGCCCCAGAAGAGCCTGAAGGAGTGGGACCTGTAGGCAGCAGTTGGACCCTCAGCAGCACAGCATGTGGCCGACAGGAGAGGCTCCCCGCTGGGCTCCAGGATTCCCTACGAGAGGCTGCAGCCAGCAGGAGAGGCTCCCCAGCTCCAGCAAGGATCTGAGCAGCGACCTGAGAGGTTCCCAGCTCTGCTTCCAGCTACTCCAATAAGAGGCCAGGCAGCTCGACATGAGGCCAGAGCTCTGGGAAGGTCAAGACCCCTAGCAGCTTGTAGCAGTATCAGTGCTGGTTGCTGTGTGGTAGAGGTTTCTGTTTACCATGTGGGAGATCTAAGTTCAAGTCCCAGCAGTAGTGATTTGGGGTGAGTGAAGTAACCAGGAGAAATCCTTGTTGCAGTGGAAAGGGGTCACTGTGTTTTCCCTCTTTTCCCCCTCCTTCAGGTACCTAGGCCCTATATTCCTTGTCATTTGACATTTTGTATTTTGTGCCTTTTATATTCCACCAACCAGTATTGTTTGTTCTGCTGTTTGTGTTGTACATTTTGTTAACCCTTTTGTCGATGATTGTAAGTGTCTAACCTTTGTTGAATCCTGCCCCCTCAGGGTGTTGTAGTGTCCCCTATACCTCCTGGTTTATGCCTGTTATGTTCCCAGTACTGTTCTCTCATTAAAAGGTATATGGTTAAGTCCCCAGTGGTGGTCTGGCTCTGCTCTATAGGGGGAAGAAAGTCCCTACACCTCCCACAGCACTTGTGCACCTGCTCTGATCCCTTCAATTGGAGAGGGGGTACCTCTTGGAGTACCGCCCAGGTTACACCAAAGTCAACAGGACAGAATGTAGTCTTTTCAGCAAGTGTTTCTCAGAAAGATCAGCAAACAATCTTCTTTAGGTAAATGTGATATCTGTTATTGGACCAACTAAATAGTTGGAAAGATCTCACAAATATCAGCCTTTAGAAGGAACTATATTTGCAAAATATGTGCGTCTGTGAATAGATGATAAATCTTTAAACAATTAGTATTTAGTACCTTATCTATCCCTTTATAAAAATACATCGCTTCTGAGCATGGTGTTAGATTTGAAGCAACATTCCTCGTGTTTAAACAAAAACAGTTATTCACATAATTTCTTTACTATAAATCCACTGCATTGAAATGCAGCATTAGACACTAGGTCTCCTGTTTCACATATAATAATGTCTCTCATGAGAAGGAAGGTTTACTGAATGAATAAGGGTTTTGAACTCAATCTCCACAGTGCATACTGAGCAAAATTGTATTCATGGGTTGAACACAGAATGAGAGGGGGAAATGGAGCTGGGACTACTGAGAAAATGAGAAAGTGAACTAGAGAGTGTAGAAATGGAGTAAAAGAGCTATACAGTGGAGAACAAAATGAAGATAATCAAAAAATAGAAATGAGAAGGTTATATTTAGAAAGGAAGAAAGGAGGGGAGAATGGAAGTAAAACTGATATGAGGAAGGTTTAGTCATAAGAATGGAAAGACAAAATCAACCAAAAAGTGGGGCAAGAATATTAAATATAGAGAGACAGACAATACCAAGGAAAAGACAGCATCAAAAGAAAAAAACAGAATCTAAAATAATATAAATTTTGAAAGAAACATTAAAAGTCAAGTTTGTTCTAGCAGAAAAATTCAAATCACCCACTGCCATTGATCCAATAACTATTCGTACTAGTTTGCACCTCTGCTCTTCTACAGGGCTAGGAAGTTAATGTGATCATCATCATCTTGGCATGTATTGCAGTGAGTTAACCTGTGACTTCTAGAGCAAAAGGCTAAACTCTGTAAAACTTGAACTGAAGAGTCCCAGAAAGCTGTAAGAGACTCACATCCTCAGTGGGTTGGGTGTAGATGGAGATGCATAACACACACTGGGCACATCTACATGTGAAATTGATGTGGCACCAGTTTATTTGCAAGTAAGTTATTCACAAATAAACAATCCCAGGCATGCGTCTACACATTCAGGAACGCAGAAGCAGATTTGCTTCCCGGGGCCCTGAAATGGGCCCCTGCCACCACTGCGGGGAGCTCCAAGCTTCAGCAGCAGCTGCCAGCAGCTGGCAGCCCCCTTCAAAAGCCAGGCCTACTAGCTGTTCCCTGGCAGGGGTGGCTGGTGCCTCCTGAGTCTGCGGGGACACACTTTGTAGGCAGGCCTTGGGGTGGGCCAAAAGCCCCATATCCACTCCTATATTTCTGTGCTGTGGCTTAGTGCTCCCCCTGCCCCCCCCCCCCCAACAAGCCGCTGGCCTGTGCAGAAAAAAAAACTGTCCCTTCCTGAGCAGTGCCAAGTCAAGAGGCAATCTCAGGGGGGGCACATGCCCCTCTGTGCCCCCCCACCCCCACCAGTTGTCTGTGCTCCCTGGCAGGGCACTTCACTGGTTAGGAGCAGCATGCACAGCACAGGGACAGCATGTGGCAGCGCTCTCGTCACTGTGCCTC